AAATTTGTAGTCTGTACGGGGTATACTCTTTGCTTCACCTCTGCTACCACACATGATGATACAACTTGTTGCTCCTCTATGTAGTATGATTTGAAGTTTTAAACCTCTACATCATCCAAATATATCCATCCAAATATATCGATGAACATGATAACATGATAAAGTTTATATTCTCATATTTATGGTATATGCTACTAAAGTAATTACACAGCTCAGGGTTCGAAATTAACGCTCGCACACTTGCAAAATACGAGTGGATTTCTGAAATTGCGAGTAGTACTTATAACCACTTGCATTTTTGTGAGAGTGACATATAATCTGTTGTGATGACTATCAAAATCGAACATCCCATATCCAGGCATTTTAAAAGTAACAAGTTGTCAACAAAAGTCATAACGGAACTAGACCAACTAATTTCTGCAAAATTATAAACAGGTACTGTCTACAAACTGAGTAAGGATTATAAACCTCGCGCGATCGCCCGCAACCGAGAGTATTCTATCTTCACGCTTTGTAGCCTTAATTGTTTAATAAAGCCGTCTCAACATTATAAACATTTATAAAGTAACTAAAAAGATAACATTTTTAATTAAAGTGTTAATTAAAGCATATTATACACTACAAACATAATTATATTAAAAATGCGAGTGTGTTTCGGATGTTGCGAGTTGAAATTTGACCCACTCGCAAAAAATTGCGAGTGGTTTCAAAAGTTAAATTCTACCCCTGGTCAGCTAGTGTAATTACTTTAGTAGCATATACCATAAATATGAGAATATAAACTTTATCATGTTTTCAGATTTTGGATATATTTGGATGGATATATTTGGATGATGTAGAGGTTTAAAACTTCAAATCATACTACATAGAGGAGCAACAAGTTGTATCATCATGTGTGGTAGCAGAGGTGAAGCAAAGAGTATACCCCGTACAGACTACAAATTTGATATGGTATTAAACTAGTGTGCGCCAGGTGCGCGTCAAATTTTTGCAGTGTGTACACGCTATCCCGCTCCAAATATGTGTTGGCCCGCACCAATTTAGCGCCGCAAATGAAGGAGGGCCAGGCCCGGGATAACTTAGCCTGGGATAAGTTATCCCGCACCAAGCTGTGTCTGTATGCAACAACCCGGGATAACTTAGCCCGGTCCAAGGTAGCCCGCTTGCGTGCGAGTCTGTATGCAACACGCATGCCAAAAAACTGGCGCTAAACCGCAATACGCATGCGCACAGCCTTAATTATATCACGTTGCTGTCTGCGGTGTGACGTAGCAAGCTGAACTGAGAACTGATGACTCATTTGATGTAGCATGAAATTTGCATTCTGTACACTACGATTTGACACGTGCCTAACCCGCACCGGTTTAATGTAGGTTCAAATTTTGCAGTCTGTATACGGGGTATTATAGAGACAGCTGTTATATTTTATAGGCAGTGGCTACGGGTACGGTAACCGTATCTTAATGTCTCAAGGCTACGGGTACGGGAGTCCATTCGCTTTCATACTTAACGAGACAAAGATGGCGGCGGTGGCGCCAGATTTCGAAATAATGCCTTGGGAAATAAATTGACAATTTGAGAGTTTAGATGAGCTAGAACCCTAACCCTAACCCTAAACCTAACCCTAACCCTAAACCTAACCCTAATCCTAACCCTAACCCTAACGCCAAAAAGGGGCTTCAACGACCGACGGCTACCGTACCCGTAGCCACTGCGTATTTTATATGTGCAGTACGTGTGAGTATGTATGTAGAGGTATTTGATTTCGTAGCTTGTTGGTTATTTACACGATTACTGTACATACATACATTCATATAGTATATACATGATACAATAAATACAAACCAATATTCGCAGTGGCTACGGGTACGATAGCCGTCGGTCGTTGAAGCCCCTTTTTGGCGTTAGGGTTAGGGTTAGGGTTAGGGTTAGGTTTAGGGTTAGGGTTATAGCCTCTGCTAAATCTCAGTGTGAATTTATTTCCCCGGCGTTTATTCGCAATCTGGCGGCCACTCGCGCATCTTGTCTCGTCAAGTATGAAGCGAATGGCACTCCCGTACGCGTGCCTCGAGACTTAGATAGGCTCGTCCCGTAGCCAGGCTGCCAAAGATTAGGGAGATCTGAAGACCACTACAAATTTGCGTAGCAGACTTATGTCCTTTCCTTTAGCAAAAGAACACCCATTCTCCAGGTCAACACGATGGAGAGCAACATTAATATTACTCCCATAAAAATGGCGTAACCGCAGTTGCTTGACGGTCCCCAGTCGGGGTCACCAATGATATAACGAGGCTTGGTAGGCGTAGTCTCATCCCAGTGTCCTGTTGTGTACAATATGCATTTTCCGTTGAAGTCTCCGCGACATACAGCAATTGGGATGAAGTAGAAGAACGACAATATAGCCGAAAGAGTGTAGCAACACGTCTGACATAGTACAAAAATGTTGCTTGCCCATTTTACCAAAAAATAAACGACAATAGATAATATTGTTGTTATTTGTAAGGGGTGTAACTTATTGGTACTCTGCGCACGCTCTGTGCTTGCCCCTGACAGGAATCTGTTGCACAGTACAATAGATGCGGGCAAGAGTTCTCTGCTCTCTGCTGCATCGGGACGCGAGCAAAACAAAGTTGATTGCGGCGAGCTGATGAACGTTATTTCAACTTCAACTTCAGGTATGCGACATATTCCATAAATTTATTCCATTACTTCATCTAAACTGTGAAAGTAACTGATTAGTTGCTAACACATGCGTCGTTGGCTCTATCCTGTGTTTGGGTTACATTATGTGTATGTACCTTAGTAGCTCTAGTATAGTAATATCTCTATAGATACATAATGTAACCGCCCAGAGGATAGGTTTCTTATCTAGGTTTATCTCTTGGGTTTGGGTTAGATTATGATTATTGTATCTATATACTCTCAGGCCGCGTAAGTTGCCATGCCCAGCGCACTGTACGCGGGCTATAGTACTAGAGCTACTACCTTAGATACAGATTACAGAGGTACGGTAATCAATCATGAATCAAGTTGAAACTTGAAGTAGCCTAGGGTACGCTCGTATTAGTCTTCATTCAGCTAATTGGTAATATAGTATGTAACCCACCCAACTAGCCGTTTTAGTAATAGTTACATTGAGTGGTCTATGGCCACTTCCTTGCAGTGACTAGTGGCGTGGGTACGCCGCCGTATTCTGTAATTTGCGCGGTGGAGGTACGGCAGCCGTTCTCTAATTTACAGAGGCTGGAGGTCCGGCAGTCCTTCGCTTTTTCTACTTATACGAGCGCAAAGATGTCGGGCGATGGCGGCAGATTTCGAAATACCGATTGGGCATAATTACATTTGAGAGTTTTTGCTGTGGGCTAGACCTGATCGAGATTGGTAGCGTTCTTGAAATGAACATTCTTGTCAACTTACCATCCGAAGTTGAACTTGCCTCGCCTCAAAAATCGCGCCAAAGGGGTTCACGAAGATGGCGCCTACTTCCGTCATAGGGTCTATGTCCCCAGGGTACTGCCGGCCCGTCCACTGGGTAACGGGTCGTAACCGGAACGTACCTGGTACTATTGGCTGATATGGTTAGGGATATGGTTAGGGTTAGGGTTCGGGTGTAGAGTTTAGGGTTAGGGTTAGGGAGTAGGCGTCGGCGTGCCTCCCTAGACTGTCGTTAGTGCGTAGAGCGGGTCCGGTCCGGCTATTATGTGAAGTAGTTTTAGTGCCAGGGTACGTTCCGGTATAGCCCGGACGTCCCAGGGTACGTTCGCAGTACCACTGGGGCATAGAACCTCAGCCATACTTCCAGCCACTACGGCATTAATTCATGTACTCTAACTCAAAACCTCTTAGTCTACATGTGAGGCCTCTATTCTCAATGGCGCTATGATAGCTTAGCAGACAGTAGTAAGGTCAAGACACCATGGAAGTTTAATAATAAATGCTGGTATAACACGAATTATTGCCCAAAGTTTTAAATGTTTGTATTCTCTTTGCCTTCATAATTCCTGTAACATGCGTTAAATTGCTCTTAACATTGGCAGAAGGAACTCCTGCATGCCGCTTTGTGACACCACGCAATACTGAGGAGGTGGGAAGCATGAGTGGGATTCGCAATCTTGCTGTTTTGCATCTACAGAAATAAACCACTACGTCTCCATATTCACTTCCGCGTAGCTGAATGTTCACTTGTTCGAATTATCACCCTTGCACTTGACTTGGGTAGAATACATTTTACCCAGGGAAATCTGGTGAATTCCTGCAGAAAACTCCCACTCCATGTCAATGCAAATGGGAGCAACTATTTGAGTAATGGCGCTGGATTGCATTGTGGGTTAAAGCTCTGTGTGCTTCTGAGCTCAATGGCGAGCCCCGCCAAGCCAAGCCAACATAATTCGCTCAGGAATGATCAGGGGCGTGTACAGGGGGGGGTGTCCAGGGGGTCTGGACCCCCTGCTCGGCGCACCAAGCATCTAAGGGGGTCTAATTTAATTTTGGACCCCCCGTACGTTTGGGGTTACGGTTAGACCCCCCCCTGGTACAAATCCTGTACACGCCCCTGATGATGTCACACACACGACTACATTCATAGGCCAAACAATCTAGTAGCGCATCTAGGGAGTGTCAGGGGGTAATCTCTGGGTAAATCAAGTTGTACCAAATTGCAAGGGTGACAATTCAAACAAGTCAGCATTTGGCTATGCATAGATACCAAGATGGAAGCAGTTGGTTGTGAATTTCTGCTGTGATGGTGTGAAAAGAAGTGAATGCAAGTGCGAATTTGACGTTCATGCTTTCCCAACTGCTATATTTCTTATGTTTGTGCACAGTGGAATGTGTGTGTTGAAGTTGTGTGTTTCAAATGAGTTTTTGAACGGTATTTACAGGAAATTATTACTAATAATAGGTGAAAGAGAGTAGAGAAACATTTTGGTAGCAAATACATTTTGTGTTTGTTTACCATCATTTTATTATTGAAATGTTTCAAGTACCTGTGTAGCAGGCTGCCAGACTAATGTTAATGAACATGCTTTTCCGTGCATCAATCTATGGCCGTTTCTTGGAGCTACCTCTGTTTATGATAATATCTCCCAGAAAAGGTCGCACCTAATATGAAATGAAAGACATGTGAATCGACATGAGTCTCGCAGCTTGATTGGGCTACATTGGACATAGTGTGTTGTGTAGCACTTCACTCTGTAACAGGAGTTCCTGTTAGTTTCAAGAGCCACAATGTACACAGGTTACACTTTTTCAGTGTACCATAGCAGTATACACTAAACAACTGTAGGACAATTTCTATAAAGTTGCATGCAAGTTTTAATGTATATATTCCTTATGCTTGTACTTTATTATCAGAAGTCTATTCACATTCTTCCGGTGTTATCCCAACTTATTTGCCTGTTTCAGAACTTGGTCATTTATTTCGAGTTTTATTCTTGGAAAGTAAAACTATCAGGATTGAATGTTATAAACAGCATTGTTTGGCAAGGTCTTGACGTTAGCAGTGACTGTAAATAGCTTACTGTCATTAACTAACACCACAGTGGTAGCGAGTTCCAAGTTGTATGAGTTACATTAGTTGCAAAGACACACATCTTTAATTTTGATTTGTTGTGTATTTGGTTACCAATATTGCTATTACATAGGATAGAGTTGATAAATTATGTCAAGGTAAGTATTCCTCCAATTTGATAGAACCTATAGTGAACTGAATGCAACTGAAACAGAATCATATGCATATTGTTTAACATCCAACCAGTCACACCATAGGCTAGCTCATTACCTCCACCCAACGGAGTTGGAGGAGGTTATGTGATCGGTCTCGTGTGTTAGTGTGTTAGTGTGTTAGTGTGTTAGTGTGTTAGTGTGTTAGTGTGTTAGTGTGTTCGCGCGATCGATATTAGCGCGTCGAGGCAGCGAGCCAGCTCGTAACACATACATGTTACATGGGAGCTACGCTGCATGGGAGCATGGATGTTTCACTGGCGTTACGGCGTATATCGTGGGTTATTCGTGTGGTCGTGAGTCCTATGTCGTATCAGTAGTGTCATAATATAGATAATTTTCTACTATAGTTACTTTACTGTTGCTATTATGTTAATACTATTACTAATATGTTATACTATAAGCATTTAAGCAATCATCGATTGCTTAAGCAATCTCTTCACTTCTATCAGAGCTACGATAGTACACTGGCGTGTATCGTGGGTTATTCGTGTGTTCGTGAGTCGTATGGCGTATGGCGTATGTTTCTGGCGAAGGTATGCACTTTCCGTGAGTGCACTCTGTCTAGTTATTTATGTTATATAAGCTGGTATTTTAATAATGTGTTGTCTGTCATGACAGTGCATTTGTATAGATATATTTATATTATATCTATAGCCATGGCATATGATGTTATACCTCTGTATATATATATGTATGTTTCAGTACATACATATATATCAGGAGTAGAGAATAGGGAACTCCTGATATATATATATATGCCACCAGATCAACTCGTCATAGTGTAAGTTATATATTAAGCTCTTTAGTTATCCCACATTTAACACCATACCCCCTAGACAAGCATAGATGTAGTGACCCACTACTGGCTGCAGCAGCTCTGTAGGGCTGACATAGAATCAAGAGAATGTTACTCTCACGTTACCCGCGGCAGCTGGTGTCGGTTATAGAACGAGCTGCCTCTTCGTGCAGGCATTCATTGATGAGGCAGCAGCAGCAACAGCAGCACCAGGGCTTCAGGCTTGTGTCACAGCTCTAGCCGTGTGTTGGTTTGCAGTATTTATCCACATCCGAAATATAGAAGTTTCGATAAATAAATTCTTCCAGCCGAGGTTTTGCCAAGCATTGGAAGTAGGCAGGCACTGGTACGCGTGTGTGGAGTGAGTGGCAGGCGAGGATTTCTGGTTCTACAGTCGGCAGGCGCTTGTCTGTGCGTATGAACCTCCTCTTGTTTTGTTACCAAGCGAGTAATTTTTCGGCAAATGACAACGGACCAAGTCTAAGGTAATCAGTAGGCAGTTGAGGGTTTGTATAAATGAATTCAGTTGAAATTTCGTGGCTTTACAGGGTTTCTTCTAAGGGAAAATTACACAAAGGAGGTAATGGCCAGTTTGGGGAAAAAATGCGCATGATGGATTCAAATACAGGATTTATTGATATACTATAGGTATATAGATACAGGATATACTTATCAGTAAATACAGGATGTATTGATATACTTATAGGTATATAGATACAGGATATACTTATCAGTAAATACAGGAACATTTTCACAACGGCGATGTTAAATTTGACAACGGCGGTGCGCCACTGTGCCTTTTATGTATAAGAAACCCTGCTTTATATTTGTTTTTATTGACGTTTTACTTGTTTAAGATCTGTTTTGTATATTCGAGTATTTGAGCATTGCATAGAAGAGCACGTTATTGAGCTACTGATATAAATGGAGAAAAACTCTGATTTTCTAACAACAGCATGAGTACAATTTGTGAATGATAATTAAGTTAGTCAACAATGTAGTTGTGCGAATCGTGTTGCCAGCAAATAGTTAGTTAATGTTCTTTTGCCAGTAAGAATAGGTCTTATACAATCGACAGTATCTTCGACAGCTGCGCATGTATACAGCTTATATGTCGGTCTTGTTAGTACTAGTTGGTAACGTGAGAGGCTCTCGGTTTATTTTGTGAGGAAAAACCTATCGTACACGGTGTGTTTGTATATGTATGTACCTGTGTGTGTGCGTGTGTATGTGTGCGCGCGTGTGCGTGCGTGTATGCATGCATGCGTGCGCGTGCGCGTGTGTGTAAGAAACTTCAGTGCATCAAGTTGGGCTGTCTTTGTTGTAGGATCATACTTGTGTTTTTGATGGAAGTCAACCTCATTGGCACTTACAAAACTTGTATTAAATTTTTTAATGAACAAACCAGAAATCTTTTAGTTGTTGTTAGTATTCCTGTATCATGCTCTCAATATCGTTCGATTTCTTCGATAGATTACAACGTCGGTACAACAACTTTTTTCTAGACGAAAATTTTATTTCACACGGTATTAGTAATGTTAAATCATTAAAAACAGTAAATAAATTGGTACGCCTCCACGATTATATTTTATGTTGAAAGTACTTGGTTTTTATGCCAAAACTTCGAAACAAAAATGTTTATTTTGCATCGCTTGACAACAGAATGAAACAGTCATTTTTAGAGCCCATGAGAAAGTTGATGCAGCAAGCGGCTAATGTATTAGACTGTTTTGAAGTCTGTTCTTGCGTACCATCTGTTACCTACTTATCTAGTGTGTGCATTGGTGTCTTGTCGCATGTAGAGTATCTAGTAACTAATAATAACGTACTCGGTTGCTTTGGCTTGTTGTATAAAATTTAGTATCAGGTAATAGCATATGGCGAATTATTATGTGCCGTGTTTGTCTACTGCGTTGGAGTCATGGCCTGATTTTAGAGCTCCGGCCTTTGGCATCTTTATTTATATTTCGTAGCTCTAAAACCTTTGGCCTTATTTTCTTGCCGTTCTGAAAGTTTGGAAAGTGCATGCCAGTAATATATATACATGGTAACATATATATATATATATATAATTAGTCTAGAAGAAAGCATGTTGCCAGGCCTATGGCATGTTGTTTGTGTCATAATTCGATTTTTGTTTTATGGTTGATTTTATCGCATATAACATTCGATTTAATTATCACATATAACATTCGATTTATCACATATAACATTCGATTTATCAAATATAACATTCGATTTATCACATATAACATTCGATTTATCACATATAACATTCGATTTATCAAATATAACATTCGATTTATCACATATAACATTCGATTTATCGCATATTATTTGATTTTATATCAGAAAAGAGAATCGAATGATTCGATGCGTGAATCGAATGATTCGATTCACGCATCGAATGATGCATCGAATCATTCGATTCTCTTTTCTGATATAAAATCAAATAATATGCGATTATTATATATATAATAATAATATATAGGGAATTATTCCCTATTATCCCCAATTATAATTCCCTATTATCTACTTCTGATATATATATATATATATATATATATATATACTATAGCGTACGGCGGTGATGGTGGGGTGGGAGGTGAAGGGCTTGATCCTGCTGCCAGTGACCCGCGCGCAGGGCACGCGCCCACGACACTTCTCGCTCGAGCTCCCTGTAGGTATATATGCACACGCGTGTCGATCTTTTTTTGTGCCGCCGAATGCGATGACATATTTCAGAAATGCCCACCCGGCTGCTAAACCGCCTGCACCGCAATAGCCTGCTTATACGCTCACTGCCTGGCCTGGCAACATGCTTTCTTTCTAGTACTTCAATATACATATATACTATTATACATATTATATATATATATATATTACTGGCATGCACTTGTCGAAACTTTTCAGAACGGCCCAAGAAAATAAGGCCAAAGTGTTTAGACTATCGAAATATAACATCAGAAGATGGCTCAAAGGCCGGAGCTCTAAAACTCAAGGCCATGACTCAACGCTAGTAGACAAACACCGCACATAATAATTCGCCATATGCATTACCTGATCACTAATTTTATACAACAAGCCAAAGCAACCCCGAAGTACGTTAGTTATTAGTTACTAAGATACCTCTACATGCGACAAGACACCAATGCACCACACTAGATAAGTAGGTAACAGATGGTACGCAAAAAACAGAACTTCAAAAACAGTCTAATTACGGTTAAGCCGCATTGCTGCATCAACTTTCTACTATGGCCCGCTAAAAATGACTGTTTCTCCTCTGTTCGTCACGCGACTGCAAAATAAAACATTTTTGTGTCGAAGTTTTCTGGCATTAAAAACCTAAGTACTGTTCAACATAAAACATATAACGTGGAGGGCGTTACCCAATTTATTTTACTGTTTTTAATGATATACCATACTAGGATTACTGCGTGTTGAATAAATTTTCGTCTAGAAAAAGTTGTTTTACCGACGCATTGTAATCTATCGAGAGAATCGAACGATATTGAGAGCATGATACAGGAATACTACAGCAACTAAAAGGATTCTGGTTGGTTCATTTAAAATTAATACCAGATTTTGTAAGTGCCAACTGAAGGTTGACCTTCCTCAAAAACACAAGTATGATCCTACAACAAAGACAGCCCAACTTGATTGCACTGAAGTTTTCTAACACACGCCGCACGCGCCCACGCATGCTCATGCATACACGTCACGCACACGCGCGCACTACAGACACCAACACACACACGCACGCCACACAGGTCACATTACATACTAATACAAACACCACCGGGTGCTACGCATAGCCGTTTTTCACTCACAAAATTAAAACCGAGAGCCTGCTCATTCTCAGTCATATTTTTCACGTAATCGGGAACTCTCATGCTCGCGTATGG